CATGTAACACAGTAACAGTGAAACCATTTTATCTTTTCTATGCCCACCCTTGTGTTAGAACTCGTGCTCTTCCTATTATCTGCTGTGCTTCCTTCCTATTGCCTTATTAACAGGGAATATCCTAAGAATCATTACCATGGCTTATTCAGTGCCATTTTCTTAATGCCTGGCATTGAAGAGAAAGTATTTTATGAATAAATTAGAGCAATAACATTTATTAAGCACTTCCTTTGTCCTAGGTGTTATAGCCTAGCTTATGTGAGATGCCCTAATTTTAATCCTACACTGAAAAAATGAGAAATCCTATAAATATATTTTAATAAATGAATAGGTAAACAGAAGTGGTATGATACTACTCAGCAATAATAAGGAATACCTGTCATACATGATAATGTGAGATATTGAGAGAAGCCAAACTACATAGTTGTCCAGTTATTTCTTACACAGTATCCCAAATAGTAAATTGCTGAGATGTATGTCTCTCTCTCTCTCTCTGTGTGTGTGTGTGTGTGTGTGTGTACACATGCACTGTTTAGAGGTTTTTAGATTAATAGGGACAATCTCTTTTCCTGAAAAAAAAAAATGACAAATTTATACTTCTACTGTCAGAGTAAGGGAAGTATTTTGTTCTCCTGGAATAATTCCACATGTTGATTTGATAGAAATAAATATAGAAGTACATTATATTAACCTGTACTTCCTTGATCACTGGTAAGCCTGAACATCTTTCTATTTACTTCTGAGACATGTTGTCATTGTTCATTAATAAAGAATCATGTTTTTCCTAGAAACAGTTGAATAATAGTTTAGTAACATATGCCCAATAACCCAGCATCACACATTTTTAACAATGAAGAATGCTACTTGTGCATGTCAGAATCTGATACAAATTTAATGATGATAGTTTTGTCAATAAACATGAAGATGATCTTCTGAGACGAGGAAAGTAAAATATTTTTTAAATTACAAATTGTAGCATTGGAACATATATCTTCATTTGTCAGGGTTTCTGGTTGAGGTATGTGGCTTTAGAAAGTAATGTGAGATGCTTCTGGGCAGGTAGGATGGCACAATTACCTGTCTTGAATGTATTGATATTTATGGAAGAAGGGGATTGATGCTAGTCTCACCCAAAAAAGGAGTCACTATGGAAAAGTGATGGAATCCAGTACAGTTCTGTAGCTCATAGGACTAATATCACTTTCCTGGTTTTGGTTATTGAACTATAATGATACAGTAAGGTACACTATTATTACTGGGGGAAACTGGGCAAAGGGATTTACAAGAGCTCCATGTATGATTTTTTTCAATTCCTATATGTTCAAAATATTTCACAATTTAAAAAATAATTTAAGTACAATTCAGTTCTTTTGTTACTCTAACCACATTTGAAATATCCCCATGTGGCAAACTACAGCCATATTAGATACTGTAGAATATTTCCATCAACTTGAGAAGTTTTATTGGATAGCATATATTCTTTGATTTATTTCAAATTCTACTATAACATGAACTTTTCTGTGCTACTGTATTAACCAGTTGTTTGGTTATGTTCAGGCCTAAAGAAAATATTTTGTCTATTTTCTGAAATTCTAAAGAAAAAAAATACTTGGGTGTTTTTGTTATTGTTAGTTTAAGAATTAGTCTGACATATGTTTTAATATATATTAAGCATTTAAATTTTCTAGTGCTCATGTATTTTGATTAGTACATATTCATTAACTGTACTGGAAAATAGTCCCAATATATCCCATTTGGTTATGCTATGGCTACTCAGCATTATTAGTTTACTTCCCCTTTTATCCTTATTCAACAGTCATGAAAAATTGTAGATTTATAGCTGGGTATGGTACTGAACACCTAAATCCAAGCACTTGGGTGACTGAAGCAGGACAACTGTATAATTTTCAGTCTAGCTTGGGCTACATCGTACCAGACCAGCCAGGGCTATAAAGCAGGTCCATGTCTCAGTGCCCCTCAAAAAACAAAATTTAGATTTCTAAAAATGTGTATCATTTTTAATGCTTGACATTACTTCTTTTTAAATTTTGTTTTATTTATGTGAATGTGTGTATCTGTGTGAATGTATGCCATGTGTGTACATGTGCCCCCAGATGTCAATAGATGGCATCATATCCCCTGGAACTGGAGGTACAGGCAGCTGTGAGCTGTCTGATGTGGTTGCTGAGAGCTGAACTCAGATACTCTAGAACAGTATGTGCTGTTAACCATTGAGTCATCTATCTTTCCCGAACTTGATGCTATTTCTGTGCTCTGTGTTTGGGTTGTCCAGGTTGTATGTCTTTTGAAAAGGTTAGCTTCCATTGCTGTGTTTAACTTTTGTTCCATGACATTTTTCATGGTTGGGCTACTTTGTAGTTTTCCTTAATTACTGGACACCCCTGTTAGTGTAGAGCTTCTTTTTGCATCAGCTTTATCCAATCTGAATATATCATTTTTATATAAGCCACCTGAAATATTGAAGACAAACAAGTTGAAGGTGAGGCAGTGGTTAGTTCAAACTCCATTCACACAACAACTAAATTAAAACACAGAGGAATAAAAATAGGGTTGGGGAGCAAGATATGATGCCATATTCCTATAATCACAGCACTTGAGAGACAGGCAGGAGAATTGCTGCAAGTTGGAAGCTAGCCAAGGCTACATAGCGTGACCCATTCACATCCACCTGAAGAAAACCATGAACAGAAAGGTAATAGAATATCAGAATTAACATTTTAACTTCCTGGTGGAAAATCCAAGTATTATGATGATATCAATGTTCCTTCCAAGTCATAAATTTACAATATTTGTATTCAAATTATAGGAATTTTTTCTTGAAATTGACAGTTCACCAGTTTATCTAGAATACCATCAAAGAATTTTTAGAAGATAAAGAATCAGAAATTAGGGATGTGGGTTGTATCTCAAATTAACAAAACTTTAATATTAATTAATTATAGTGCTGGTACAAAAACAGTGACCTTTTATCCAAAGAACCAACAGTTAATACTGTAACCACCATGAAATTTCAACACCAGAAAGATTTCTTTGAGGATATGATAGTGAATGTCTATAATCTAAGCACACAGGAGGCAAAGGTTTGAGGCCAACCTATACTACATAGTAAGACCTTGTCTCAGAACAACTGTTCTTTTACATTAATTATTTCTATAGTCACTAAATTTCCTATACCTAAGCTAGTAAAAGATATTAACAAAACAGACTACCAAAAATAAATAAATGAAGTAAGTACAATAGTTGTATAGAATTAAAGAAATAAAATGTGAACACATTTTTTTGCTTTTTAAATGGGTAAAGATTTTTATTATTAAAACACCAGTAATGCTGGGAATAACACCTTTAATGCCAGCACTAAGAAGGCAGAAGCAGGTAGATTTCTGTGAGTTCAAGGCCAGCCTGTCTACATATCATGTTCCATGTTAGCCATGGCTGCATAGTAACAACCTGTCTCAAAACAAACAATCGGCAATGACAGTGATGATCCAGTGAAATTTATATTCTCCTTCATTGCTATATTTATCTTTCCTATCATTGCCTTAATGCACTGTTCTTGATTCATTCATATTACACATTCTGTGGTTCAGCAAATTGTGTTGGCTATACCTTTGAAATAGATACATCTAAACATCTGCTGTACTGTTACTATCTTGGTCCTAGCTTCCCAACATTCCTGCCTGGCCACTTGCAATCCTATTTATTTCCCTGTTTCTTTCCTTGTCTTCTATGTGTCTGAAAACAACATCTAAAATCATCATTTTAAAATGTGACTCTTACTGGGTCATTTCTCCATTCACTGTGTCCCAATGTTCTCAGAGTTAAACGATTCCATTATAGAGGTCTATAGATCATGCATGATTAGACTCCACCTTTCCCTTCTGACCTAACCTCTTCTACTGTTCTTGCTTTCTCTGATTCAGTTATATTAATCTACTTATCTTTGTACTAAACCAAATATGATCCCACCTCAGGGCCTTTGCACTTAAGTTTTACCTGCTTAATATGATTTACTTGGTAATACCTTTTCAGCCTGCTCCCTCTGCTTTTACAGGTCTTTGTTCAGACCTGTAAATAAAGTTTCCCCTAATTTCTCTTTTGAAACACCTTCATATTTTTTCCTGAATCCTTACCCTGCTTGATTTCCCCCTACCTAGTGAATTATATGTTTATTTACATGTTACTTTTTTTCCAACTAGATTTTTACCTCAGTAAGGGCAAGGCTATTATTTTGTTCACTGCTGTAACTCCTATCACATAGAAAGAGCCAAGGACATAGTAGGCATTTTGTGTTTTGTGATTAAATGGCACTGACAGAACATTTTTGGAAAGCTGCTACTACAGATTTTCCAAGCTGGTTTTTTGTTTGTTTGTTTGTTTGTTTTTAAGAAAAGAAAAGATGATTAAAGAAATCTTATGCACATGACAAAAAGAGAGAAAGAAAGATGAAGCAGGGCCAAGGATATGAGACCAAGAGCAGTAATGAAGGTTGTTTTTTCTGTATGTGAGAACAGGGAAGATGATAAGAGACTAATTCCCAACTATAGAACAACTTTCAAAATTAGGAGTAGACTCCAAGTTTTGGCAGTCTTTGAGAAGTCAAAGAAGCAAAGGGTCGGTGCTGGGGAACGGTAGAAAATACGGAGATAGTGGCTTAGAAACATATCTAGGGGCTTGAAAGTGGGTCAAAAGACTATTCTTGATCCATGAAGAAAACAAAAGTGTTCATTCTTGAGCCATGAGGATGAGCCAACTATCTAGGTATGAGCTTGTTCCTGTCATATAAGAAAGCAAGAAGAGTAATGTAGGAATTATCAGGTAGGCATATATAAGAAGGCAGAATTGAGGTACTACTTGAAGTACTGAGTATAGAATGTGAGAAAACAAAGGCCTATATTAAATATCAGCAGCAAGTTATATGATGGAGAATAGAGATCCTTGATTAAATGCATGTGTTTAATTATTCTCTTCTTTTCTTCTAGGGTTCTCTGTCATTCACAGAAGAATGGATCACTTAAGGCTTTGGGGGACCTGGTTATCACAATACTCCTGTACCACCAACTGAGATTTACATAACAGTTTATGGCAACAAATTTCCATAATATAGAACCACTGAAGAATTAAGAGAAGATATTCTTTCATAAAAATACTGTCGTATCAAGTTACTAAATAAAACTAAAATGTATAATATTTAAATTATTAGACTTGCTGATATAAGCATACATGTGCAGCAGCTACTGTATACTGATAGTTTCCAAACCTCAAATTTAAAGATTTCCCTTCATGGAAAAGTTACTGTATTTTATAAGAAGCCACTGAACATTGTCATTAAATATTTTTCAGCAAAGTATCATTTCAAGAAAATTTTCTTGAAACATAGTCTATAAAGTTCCAAGTCCTACCACTAAGTGAATTTGATATTATGGCAGCAACTTACAGACTGGTAGTCAGCACCGTGAACCATTACAGCAGTGTGCTGATAGACCGGCGTTTTGAACAAGCTATACATTATTGCACTGGAACCTGCCACACCTTCACACATGGAGTAGACTGCATTGTAGTGCATCATAGTGTTTGTGCAGACCTCTTGCATATCCCTGTGTCTCAGTTCAAAGATGTGGATCTGAACTCTGTGTTTTTGCCCCATGAAAATGGGCTCCCATCAGCTGAAGACTATCACCATCAGGCCCTCACAGGCATACCCAGGGCCAAGAGAGCATCCACATCGCAGAATAACTGCAACTTAAAGGACATTGCAGGAGAAGCAATCAGTTTTGCCAGTGGGAAAATAAAAGAATTTTCCTTTGAAAGACTCAGAAACTCAAACCATGCAGCTTACAAAAAAGGAAGGAAAGTTAAATCTGACTCATTTAATAGGAGGTCAGTTGATTTTGACTTGCTCTGTGGCCATTATAACAATGATGGGACCTCTCCATCCTTTGGCTTACTCCGGAGTTCCTCAGTTGAGGAAAAATCTTTATCTCATAGAAATTCACTTGATACAAACCTGACTTCCATGCTTCTTCAGAACTTTTCTGAGGAAGACCTAGTTACTCAGATTTTGGAAAAACATAAAATAGATAATTTTTCTCCTGGAACTGACATAAAAATGTGCTTGGACATCTTGCTGAAGTGCTCTGAAGATTTGAAAAAGTGTACAGACATCATAAAACAGTGCATAAAGAAAAAGTCAGGAGGCAGCATCAATGAAGGAAGTGGCAATGATGCAATTTCTAACTCTGAAACTGTCTACATGAATGTAATGACCAGGCTTGCATACTACCTGCGAAAGTTACCATTTGAATTCATGCAGTCTGGGAATAATGAGGCTATAGATTTAACAGAACTTGTCAGTAATATACCTAACTTACAACTTACTCCATTCTCCCCAATATATGGGACTGAACAGCCCCCTAAATATGAAGATGTTGTTCACCTCTCAGCCATTGACTCTGGACCGTTTCAGACGGTTGAATTGCAAGATGATGTACATAATTTTAAACAGACAGACACTGTAAAAGCCACTCCAAACAACACAAATTCCTTGTGTAGCTTGGAGGCAAACAATCCTGGAACTCTAAAACCTGTGCAGCTTCAATCACCATCATTAACTATGAATCCTTTAGAGAATGTTTCTTCTGGTAACTTAATGGAAACTCTCTATATTGAAGAAGAATTGGATGGAAAGAAGCCCTTATTAGATAAAGGACAGAAAACAGAGAATGGACAAGGTCAGGGTCTGCTAAAGGTAAATGAACATAAAGAATTTTCCAACCATGATACTTATCTTAAAAAATGTCCTGCCTCAGTGCAAAATGAAATTGGTAAGATATTTGAAAAGCCGACGATTGTTCATCCACCTAAAGAAGAATCTAAATTAGAAGTTCCTACCATAGAAGTAAAAGAGCAGAGACACTTTATGAATCCTAATAGTCAAGAGGAGATAGACAAACTGTTGATGGATTTGGAGTCATTTTCACAGAGGATGGAGACCTCTCTTGGAGAACCACTTGCCAAGGGTAAAAGCATCAGTCCTCTAAATAGTCATAGTCATTTGACTGGTCAGATCCATGAAGATCTTGAACCTAAACCTGTAGTCTCTTCACCTTCAGAAAAAGTCTCACCTTCCTGTCTAACAAGGATTATTGAAAACAATGGACACAAAATAGAGGAAGAGGATCGAGCCCTCTTACTTCGAATTCTGGAAAGCATTGAAGACTTTGCTCAAGAACTAGTTGAATGCAAGTCAGGCAGAGGAAGCCTATCACAGGAAAAGGAAATGATGCAGATTCTACAGGAAACCTTGACAACTTCCTCCCAGGACAGTCCATCAGTCTGTAAAAGCTCTGTTGGTGAGAAAGCCAAAGATAGTACTTCGGTTGTTTTGATTCAGCAGACGCCAGAGGTGATCAAGGTAAGATTCAAAAATCATGAGTCCTGAGAATTCTCCAAATATATGGTTTATTGTTTGTAAAATATATAAACAGAAACAAATTTTGTAAGCCATTTTAAGTTCTGTGTTAGGAATGATCTCAGTTCAGTTAAGAAGAAGCAAAGGGTTTGAATTAAGCAGATTGTTTTCATTTGTCCTAGCCATGCACTTCACCTTCCTTCTAGGTTCTTTGACTAAAAGAAAGTCACTTAGCTTCATATTTATCCATATATATATAAAGAATTAATATACTCATGTAAAACATGAGCAGTGAAATATGACAGTTACACAGAGTAGGTAATTTAATATTAACCCTCATCCTTTCCAGGTAACCAAGAAACCAGGCCTTCATATATGTGCATGATTCTGTGAGGAGCAGGATAGGGTACAAGACAAGAGAGTTTGATTTTTTTTCTTTGTTTTCCAAGAGACAGGGTTTCTCTGTGTAGCCTTGGCTATCCTGGAAGTCTCCTCAAACTCACAGAGATCCACCTGCCTCTGACTCCTCCTGAGTGCTGGGATTAAAGGCGTGCACCACCACTGCCCAGCTAGAGTCTGATTGTTAAAGAGCTGAAAATCTAGCTGATGAGACAAAACTAATGTTCCTGAACAGTATTTAAGCGTGTGAACAAAGTATTGTCAGTTCATCAGGCCTTCAAAGAAAGCATGTGTGTGTGAGGTTTATTTCTCTGTGCAAGTAAGAATAAATAACAATCTAGAATCAAAGACATGTTGTCCAAAGGTTTTCGCTTTCCCCTACTTATTTTATTGAGTGTAAATACTTGGAGAAAGCAATTATCTAACCATTTGTGTAGATGTGTTCATCAGTGAAGCAAGGTTGTTCCTTCTCAGAATGTCCAGGTTTTAGCAAGGAACTCTTTGCCACCCCATTTAAGGACTCAGTTTGATGAAGTCTCCATGTTCTTGATGTTGTCCTATTGTACAACCTGGAATATGTAGACTATGTAGCCTGTGAATTTACTAAGAAGAAGAAAAAAAGAATGGCGTTTTTAACTATTGAAAGACCTAAAAAGTAATGTTAATGATGGACTAACCTAGAAACCAATATCTGTTCCTTGGAATTTGCTAGCTTCTTCTCACAAGGCCCTGAGATAAGAAGAATTCACACTGCCCCTCCTTTCCTGTGAGTCAACAGGTGGTAAATAGGGTCAAGAGATAGCTGTAACTCTGGTTTGCCCAGACAAGATTAATTAGCACACCTGAGGCCCTAAAGTCTGCTGACCCTAATAGCAGACCATCCTGCCTCCAAGGGTCACGTACTCAATGGACAGAGGGTCCCACCCCCTCCCTAAGCTTGTGGGGTTGCCTTTAAAAGCACTTGTGCCCGGGGGAGGGGGCTTCTCCCTAGCCTGCGTGTTGGAGGAGCCCGTTTGCGCAAACGTTTCCTGTTCATTAAAGCCTCTTGCGTTTTGCAGCAACTGGACTGGACATTGAGTTCTTGGGGTATCGATCGAACCTGGAAGACTCCTCATTCTGAGGGTCTTACACTATCTGTCCCAAATATGATAGGCTTCAATTTGAGACATAATCTACTGCTCCTGACCAAAAGTCCATACGTAAAAAAGTGCATCAACTATTTGCTAAACCTAATATCTACCATTATAAATGTCAGCATGTAGTCATTCACAGATAAAAAGCCAAATCAATAAAAGTAAGTTATAAAATATATGAATTGTTTTGAAATGTACAAATTTGTACTAAATGTAGGAGGAAATGCAGGAATACAACAAATACCATGTTCAGAAAAATAGCCATGGACAAGTGGAAAATGGGCAGAAAATCTCAGTAGTTTCCGGAATGTCATCTTTCTACTCTGGGTGGTAGCTATCTAGCAAGTTTCTCATATTACTTGTGCCATTTGTATATTCCTAAACATTACATAATTTTTAAAACTTAAATTATGTGGCAAATTTAAAAAAATAAAGGCATAGTGTTTCATGCCTTCAATCCCAGCACTCAGGAGACATAATCTGATGAACTCTGGGGGTTCAAGGCCAGCCTACATAAAGAGTTCCAGAGATACATAGTGAAGCCCTGTCCTGAAAAATAAATAAATATTAAATATTTTAGCCTCATTAAAATTTTGGTTTGAGGGCAAGATGGGTCAGAGAGTCAAGGCGCTTTCCACACAAGGCTTAGTTCAGTCCTTGGGACCCAGGGAAAGAAGAGAACTAATTCTACTAGTTGTCCTCTGACACCTGCACACATGCCCACACAGACACATCATGGACAAATGCACACAATAATAATATGTAATTTTTAAAGGATTTTTAATTTTTGTTTTTGAGACAAGATCTCATTATTTAGCCTTGGCTGGCCTAGAACTCATAGATTCTACCTGCCTCTGCCCCATGAATGCTGGGATTACAGACTGTGCCACAACACACACCAAGATTTTAATTTTAAATGTATGTGTATGTACATGTGAGTGCAGTGCCTGCAGAAGCCAGAAGAGACTTGGTGCCCTTGGAGTTGGAGTTACAGGCTGTTGTAAACTGCCTGATGTCAATGCTGGGCACCAAACCTGAGTCCTTTGGGAAAGTATATGCATTCTTAATTACTGAGTTATCTATCCAGCCTAATATGTAATCTTTAAAACTTCATTTGTTCTTGGCATTGTGGTCCAATTCCGTAATCTCAGAATTAAGAAGAACCATGAGTTCAAGGCCAATGTAGAATATATAGTGAGTTAAAGACTACCCTGAACTCTCTACAAGACCTCATGTCAAGAAGAGAAGAGCTAGGGATATAGCTCAGTGATAGAAAACACTAGCCTATCATGTAATATCCAACAGCAGTGGGGCATGGGGGAGATTATTTGAACAAAAAAGGTGAATTGAGATCAGGTAAATAATTTCTACCTGGTACACATATATGACCATTGTCCTGTGCACATTTTTAGTTGCCAGCAACATTAAATTTTTAAACAATATAGTACATACTTAGTTATTAAATGATGATTTTTCTCAGGTGTTCATTGGGCATTTATGGACACTTTGGATCTCATTTATTGATTCACAAATATTGGTAATGTTAGTTTTAGAGAAAAAGCCCAATTCAGAGTCCCAAGGGACCTGGTCTATCCACTGTTCCCAGAATTCAATCCAAGAGATGGCAGTGGTGAAGGTAGAAAGAAGTTTTGTAAAAGCACTGTGACCATACCAGAAGAAGGCAGTGACCTAAGGCCTGTCATCAGTGAGCTTTTAAACTTTTAGAAAGGGAACAGAGGCAAAGGTTAAAGGGTTTGCATAGCTGAGCAAAGCAAGCAGTCTTGGGTAATCCATGGTCAAGTTGATCATTATCTCTAGATGGTAAGCTGTGCTTTTTGGTCACAAGGAAAGTTGCTGTTGTCTTGGGATTGATTCCAGGTCTTTTCTTGGAATGTTTATCTACCAGATCATTTCCTCCTGGTGTGCAAGGAGATTGCAGGAAAGAAAGGCAAGGTGGAATTAGTTCTTTTGAGTTTAGAGCAAAGACTGGAGATGTCCAGATACTACAGTGAGTCTTAGTTACTCTTATTTGGTGTGTTGGGGGTAGGAAAGGATGAGCAGCTTCAGACAGACATTCTTTAAATGACTTACATATCTTTGTGCAGAACTGAGCAAGAATCTGACCCAAATTTAGGGTAGCAAAAAAAAAAAAAAAAAAAAAAAAAAATGTGTGTGTGTGTATGTGTGTGTGTGTGTGTGTGTGCAAAATAACACCAAGTTTTTTATCTTTCTTTGTGTCGTTCACACCCAAATGAAGAGTGGATGATTTTAGCAATCATAGCTTCTAAGTCCCTGTGATAATATCTTTAGTTAAGTTGGGTCTTTGGGTCATCACTGGGAGAGAAACTGAATAAATTAATTATAAAAGTTAAAAAAAAAAGTCTTCATATTCAAGGCAATACTGATGTGTTTAACATGTTATAAAGGACAAAAAAAATACCTATGTAATAACCTCAGAATGCTAATGATTTACTAAGAACTACAGTTATTGTAAGCTAAGCCTGCTAAGAAATTTGGATATATTTTCTAAATATACTGCCTACTGAGTAGAAAATATTCATCTTCTCTGATGACTTATTGTAATTTCTCACAACCATTATAACCAGAAACCTTTACTGTGGTGCCATATTTTGAGTGTTTATTAAGCACTCTTCCTACATTATCTCCTGTGGGGAAAAGAAGACAATCAGGGAGCAAGTCCCTAATAATACTCCCAATCTTGGAGTAGCACCCTGGTGACATTCTCAATCTAACGCAGCAGCCAACAATGCCACACCAGTTTTCCTAGGGCGTTTTGTTTTGTTTTGTTTACAAATATGAACTGAAGTCAGAATGTAATTTAAAATATCATCTCCCAGTATTCTTTTAAATAAGTTTCTATATCAGAAAAGAATAAAATTTGGTACTTCTGCTTGATAGAAGTCGAAAAATGCTAATGACAGTTAATTGAAAGAGACAAATAATATGAGATGTTTCATACAGGAAGATGGCTTTGTGCAAGAGGCCATATCTCCTTGCTATGTTTTGTCCTTTCTTATTTAACCTTTTCTTCCTGTGAATTGTGCTAAGACAGGAGTTAGCTGCCTTTTTCTATGAAATGCAGATAGTAAACGTTTTAGACTTGGTATGTCATTATCTTTTGCCTGTGTGCATGTGTGTGCACGCGCATGTGTGCATGCGTGCACACACGCGATTAAGTTGTTCTTTAAAAATGTTAAACTTGGGCCTGGGGAGATGGTTCAGTTGGTAAGTGTTTCCTATGCAAGCACGAGAACCTCACTTCAAATCTCTAGCACTTGCATAAAAAGCCTGGCATGACAGAATATGTCTATAACCATAGTATTGTGGACATAGGCCAGCAGATCCTGGGAGCTAGCTCACTAACTGTGAGCCTCATCAAAAAGGTGAGAGACCCTGCCTCAAGAGAATAAAGAGGGAGAGTGGTAGAGTAAAACACTTGGTATCCTCCTG